ATTCTCTAATATGTGCTTGAAACCAAAAATATATACCGTTAGGAAATTTATAATGAATTTCAATAGAGCACTAGATGATTAAACTGTCAGATTGACGAACAATTCATCAATCGGTCTATCTCAATTTACTGAAATGAAATAAATCAGTTCTAACGAGACACCTTCAGCCTCAAACGATTTTGTAACTCTTTTATGGTAATCAGCACATGTGTTTTAGAGGATTGCATACGGAAAGCTCCAAGCTCATTTAGAGGTAATTTTGGTTGATCAAATTAGTTCATAATGAAAATTGACCACCGTAAAGACTTTCAAAGCTGAGGTTTCGAACGTTAACCCTTCGTCATTCGCTATGACGAGGGACCAACGCTCGAGACGTCAGCTTTGAAAGTCTTTACGGTTGTCAATTTACATTATCAACTCAGTTGATAAACCAAAATTACCTTGTTCCTCCCACCGACGCAGCACTACAGTTTCTTTAGAAACTTACCCCCTTTATTCATTGATAATTACTTTAATTGTCTGGAACTTTGTTGCTTTTCGACGATTTGCTTGGTTTATTCACCAATTTTTCTGTTCTTTTTTCTTTTTCAGCGTTCCAGCTAATTTCCGTTCTCTAGTCTACTTTTATGGCATAAAAAATAGTGGGGTAGAAGAATGGGATTTTGCTTTTGAGCAGTTTCAAAACACAACTGTGGCAAGTGAGAGAAGAAAGATCTTGTATGGTTTAGCTGGTGCCAGTGAGCCTTGGATTTTGAGCAGGTTAGTAAAGTACTCACTGTCGGAGTCGTATCGACCAGCAAATCTTTTCGTTGAAGAAAAGTATTAAATCTTATTCAAAACAGTTTATTGAGGAAATAACGACACTGTTTTAAGATATGTGTTGATCAGCGTGACAAAACCATCTTTAAAAAAACTTGAAAAGACAAACGAGAAGAAGATATAAACTTTCCGTATTTAAACTTTGAGAAATTAGAGCCTTGGGACTTTTATCAAAAGGGATTGGTAGTTTACGTTGCGCTATTTGGAGCATTCGAGTTTTTTCTTTTTATAGTTAAGTTCAGAACTTCTTTTGAGAGTTGAATTTGCTTTTGCTTATAAACAAAATGAGGACGATGGTCAATTTTGAGCTAGGTAGAGCGTAAAAGAAACAAGTTTTCTTCTTCTCACGAGCGTGAGACAGAATAAACTCTGAGTTCCCCTCCCTCCCCCTTCCCCGCAAAGAAGACACAGAACACCTTTCTGTATTTCTTTACCAAGCTCAAAAATTACCATCTTTCTTATTCCATTTACAAAACATAATGATATCGATATTGCCGACCCTACCAGTCTGGCTCAGTTGAGCGCGGAGTCCAAAGGTCTAAGGTTTGATTCCTCATGGGGATTCAGAAGTTTTTCTTTATCCCACACTCGTGACAAGACGGAAAAACATCTTTTTCTATTTCTTTACGAAGCGCAAAACTTACCATCTTTCTTATTCTGCTTATATTAATTGTATCGCTGTTGTAGCATACCAAGTGGAGTACCGGTAATATATCCGTCATGCTTAGGGTTAACTAGGCAATCGTTTTCTTTCAGTATATATTAACGCTGCCTTTCTTAAGTGACCAGCTTATTCCTCTCCAAGGTTCTTGTTGTAACATCTTCGTAACACTGTACTCTGAGATGAGAGTCACTGATGAAATGCACTCTCCGTACGAATCGTAAACTATTTTGTCTGCTCAGGTTGTCAGTGCGTAGCTAACGTAACGTTACACTCTTACCTGATGGTATAACTGAGATTGTTGTTTGCGATCTGCAATTTTTGGTGAGACTTCCAAGGATTTTTCATGTTCAATTGCGTGATGCGGAAGGGGGGATCTTGCAAATCATACGGTCTGCAAATCTGGTGTCCGAGCCGTAAAGTGCATATTACATTCGTAATTTGCTTAAGAGTGTAGGGTACGCACTGCTTGTTAGTACCCTTGGATCGTGCAGATCGTACAGTCATAACAGCGTAACGATATTCCCTGAGTAACACAGTTGATTTCACATTACCATTTAATGTTTTTTCCAGATACTTGCAATACTCGATTACTCCAGACAAGATTAAGTCTCAAGACACGTCCAGAGTTTTGTCCTATGTGGCTAACTACAATCCCAATGGACGCCAGCTTACTTGGCAGTTTCTCAAACTGAACTGGAACTTGATTAAGGAGAAGTAAGAATTGAACAGTATCGTATCATGACTTAAAGCGTAATAGCTTTAGTTCTGAGAACCATTGGTACCCATGTTAAGACTTAAACTCAGATGTAATCTACCAATTGATTCCTTTCTCTAGGTTTGGTGGAGGATTCTTTGCCATCAGGAATATAATCCTCAGTGTGACATCAGGATTTTCTACGGAATTTGAACTCGAGGACGTAAGTTGATATATTCACTCAAGTTAACTAGTTATGGGTCGCAGCTTTGAGAAAGTTTTCCCTTTTTTCATCGAGAAAAGAATGCAGAATGTAATCCCCAGATATTTCAAAGTCGGCTTGATAAGCGACCGATACCTGGGATGCAGGATGTTGATGAGTCTACCATGCTTAGGGGTCACCGCCTCATCTACCTCTGTAAGAATTAAAATGGCAAAAAAGTCAGGCGAGAAAGGTATCATGATGTAGAACTGTGCCGTGATAGCTACCGAAAAACTATTGACCCCTATATACAAGACAACATGCCCTGGCCGGACCAATACTCATGGTCTTAAAATAACTGAGGAGAATTTGCTACCTTTCTATAATATCAAGAAATGAATAGATATTCTAGTATTCTCGGACAAAGACGAATAAACCGTAGACCACGTCTCCTGTAGGGTTAGGGGTAAGTGACGTTAATTTCCCACGTACAAGATTACTGTGTGTTGGATGTCCTCCCTTGGGGTGGGATGGATGTCCTCCCCTGGGGTGGGGGGGGGGGGGGGATGGGTGGGATTGAGGGTCACAAGCTCATTAGCTCTTAGCTATTTAGTGTTACCCCTATAAATAAAGTGTGTTTACAACAAACCCAAAGAGCCTGACTACAGTGTACTACGCATACGACTTTTTTAAAAAATGCTCACGGTTGCTTCATGCTACCTAACCATTCTTTATCATTCGTAAGATTCTGCAAAGCTTAGCACCGATAACTTCAGCACTAAAACTAAAAAAGAGAGCTAAAATTGCTTTTAGTGGGTAAAGCTGTAAAAAATGCAAATGAGGTTAAATCGTTTCTTGTGTTTTTATTATCGTTTAGCTGAAAGAGTTCAACCGGAAGCATTCTGCTGGGTCAGGGACGCGAGCTCAACAACAGGCGGAAGAGGGTGTCATGGCAAACATTCAGTGGCGCAAAGAAAATGAACAGGATGTGTCGAACTGGCTAAAATATTTCCTTGAAAAGAACAATATACCACTAAACTAGAGGGCACGCTTTTTCTTTGGGGCATTTTCTTTTCAATAGTTTGAGTTAACCTTTTAAAGATTATCAGTTCATTATATCATTGATCTTTTTGTGGTGTTTGTTGTTGCTTCATTAAAAAGTGGTACAATGACACAAATGACAATTGGTTACTGCCTCCTGAGAAGAGAATGGACTTAAGAATTGCACAGCACCATTAACGACCGTTATCTAAACGACATCTTAAGCTAATGGAATTGTAACTAAAGCACCGCTATGGTTGTGTGATCTAGCAGGAAAATCGTGTTGATTATCCATGCCTTCTTCGCACTTATTCCTGAAAGTTAGAGAATATAGCTACGATACTCGACAATTGAGGTTTACAGTTTAGAATTTCTATATGATTAAGAAATGTGAAATAGCATTAGCATATATATGCTCACGGGCCTCAATTGAGCGTTCATTAGTTTTCTGTTTACTTGACAAAGATGCATACTTTCGCCCGAATATTACTAGGTACTCAAACAAAGTGTACATTTGGATGCAAATCGTATAAACGCCTTCATAGAAAGTCCGCACGCTTTGAGCCTTCAGTCGAACGCGAAATAAAGACCTGTTCCCTTGTTTGTGTAATTAAATTCCGAACTACAACTGTCACTTTTCTTTGATAATGGAGTCGAAATGTCCTTAATGCATCGCAGTTTCTTCATCAATAGCAGCGAGCTTGTGTCATATTTGCGTAATAGATCAAGAAGAAAAATGCCCCAGCCTTCTCTACCTATGGATGTTTTTTTCAACTCTGCATTTCCCAGCATGAGTTATGAGTGGGTAACACCTAAACATCGAGTAACAGTACATTTTTTTGTTTTTGTTTTTGTTTCTTTTTTTATTTTTTTATTTTTGTGATTCATGAGTCATTGTTTATGTTCAAAAAACAAACACCAGGTTAGGATCATGTTACGCTCTGGCTTCCCTTTGATTCTGTCGCATGTTCAGCTAATGTGTGTCAGACACAAATCGCTTCGTACTCGTATCACTATGAACATGATTGCAGTTTTAAAGAATTTCTACTTGGAATTCTAATAAACTTTGTACGGTTGATTACATGTAATTGAATTAATTTAACTAGAGGACCTCTGATTTAAGTGGATACACACTGTTTAGAGTCATTAATAATATTGCAAATTTATAGAGTTTTGATATTGTTCTTATTGATGTTCTTGTTGGGGCTTCTGCCTCCTATAGGAAGCGAAGCCACATATGTCGCCGCTATGAGTAAGCGAGAGTAAGAGTGAGTGTAAAAATAGAATTTCGATCTTGACGCAATTTTGACCCGATGTTATCCACTTATTGTTTTTTTCGGAGTATGTTAGTAGTTCGACATTGACACTCGATACGCGGTTGAGTTCTTTGCTTTTGTGATTTCTGGCTTATAGCCACCAGCACAGTATGTTTTCAGTTCTTGCCATGAAACTAGGGAAGGCAGTAGAAGACGATAATCATCTCACAATCATTTCAGGATTGTGGGCGATTTTAAAAACAAAATGTTTTTCTTGCAGAAATATCTTAATAGGTTAGATCGGTGCATCATGAAACTTCTAGGAATATTTTTTCTTTAAAGAGAAAGCTTTTTACCAGCGAATTATGTAAATCCGAGGGTATGATCTTTTCAGTTCTTGCTGTGACAGGTCGTGACACGACAAGGACTTGCCGTGACACTGTGGAAGACAGTAGAAAGCGATTAACATCTTACAATCATTTCAGAATTGTGCGCAATTTAAAATGGAAGTTTTCTTTGCTTAAATTTCTTAATAGGTGCGATCGGTGCATCATAAAACTTACGGGAAAATTTTTGTGTTTGAGAAGAGAGCATTTTATCGTTTAAATCAACAAATTATGTAAAATATTTTAGTCTGCTCGTCTAGCCTGGCGTGCGATACCAGGATTTTCTCGTCCGCAAATTTCAGCGCCGCTTTTACTCAAATGTCTATGACTCATACCCAGGGTTATATATGTCTATGACTCGTACCAGTACTGGCAGGTTATACATGTCTATGACTCGTACTCGTATCGGCAGCAAGTTAGAGAAACATAACTGTACGAGAAATCCTCCATCCGTTGCAAGTCAAGTTGAAGCCCACACAAGTAGCCCAAGAGCGAACCAAAACGCAAAAGATCAGCAGGAAAAAAGCATCCGTTCCACCGTTGTATTTCGCGCGATATTTTTTCCATTTCATGTTAGCTTGTTTTGTTAGAGATGGGTTGGTGGTCCGCTAAATTTACGAGGCGAGCAAGCTGTGGAATACGGTTGTAGCGTTGCAGTTGTGTCTTCCGTTGCAGTTATGTCCTCACACCTAATAACCAATAGAATGCGGTTTTATTTCTTCTAATCAAAGTGCATTGTGAACGTGTCTTCTGCTTGTCACTTCCCAGCCAAGTTGCTATGTCCAATCTTTAACCCGATTTCCCATTTTTTAATTAATTCTAGAAAAACGAGATAAATTCTCCGAATTCATCCGCAAGCTGGCTAACACGCTAAGTTCCCATCTACCATCTTTACCCAGATTTTCCATTTGATCAGCGAACTCTAGAAAAACGGGATAAATTTTGTGAAATTCATCCTTTAGGTGGAATGTATTATACTGACTTGCCATAGCCATATTTACCCCGATTTTCGATTTGATCAATGTGTGAATTTGTCATAAACCGGGTAAATTATGACAAATCCACCCAAAAGTGCAGCAAATCCAACAATGATTTAGAAACAGAACTAAAAAAAGAACAGCTAAAATCAACGGAACCGCAATACATTCATATCACAATCTATTACTTCAAATTAAGTTCGTCCAGACGGATAATGCGTCTCTAGTATAAAAACGGCCATTTTTACGGAGGGCTCAGTGCCATGCAGCAAAAAGCTACAATATTCAAAATAAACAACTAAAGGCCAAACTTCTGATTTAGGGAAGACTTTGTGACGCAGACAAATTATCACAACTTTGACCTCTCAGTCGATCTCACTTCCGGCGGATCAACGAAGCATCAAAATTATATATTTTTATGCAGATGAACCATAATCTATGATCCTCAACTATTAAAGAAATAATACAATTGTGATATGACGCCACATTCTGCTTTTGTCTTAGCTTGTGGGTAAAATATTGTCATTGGGGTCGCAAGTCGAAGAATGAAGACTGTAAATAAAGCAAGACTGCAAAGAAAGCGTGAACAATAACGCATCCTGTAGCCGAAAGTCACTTTAGGCAGGGGTCGCACTAACGCTTTTGGACATAAAATCTATTATCGTATGCTTGCGACAAGTGCGACCCTTTTGCCGCGACCAGACATAACTATGTCCGAAGGACCTAAGATCAAAAAAGCCGATGTCCTGCCTCGAACCAGGTCATATCTTGTCTAATGTCCTTAAAATAATAATTTTTTGCTTTTCTTCTGGCGCAACGCCAATCAAGTCCGAAATACCAGCAAAAATTGGATTTTCGAAATTCTGCAAAGACAACACGTCACCAGTTGTCTTTACAACGTTTCATGGATTGAGATTTTATTTCCAAAAACTAAAAGTTTTCTAATTGGAATTGTTTACCGTTCCCCGGATTCTTCAAAACATCTTTGCGCAGATTTTAATTGCAAATTTGATTCAGTGCTTTTGACAGTGTCATCAGAGGACAAAGAATGTATTCTTACTGGTGATATAAACTGTAACTACCTGGTGCCATCGGACCAAAAAGAAATTAAATCGATCTTCGCCTCTTTTGGACTAAAACAGCTTATTTCAACCCCCACGAGAATTACACGCGAATCCAAGACCCTGATTGACATTATTTGCAGTTATGAACCCGAGAAAATTTATTCTGTGAAAGCTATCTCGGCTGGTTTGAGCGACCATGAATTGATCTGCTGTTCTCGCAAAGCAAACAACGTGAAAAACCATCCCAGAATCATCACCTGCC